GGGGATGCGTTCTCAGGACGGCAGATCCAACCGGGGGTTCAGCTGCAGAGGGAGCACCTGAAGAGAAACGATGGGGCTTGATTGACAGGACGAAGTACCAATCAGAGTGCGCTGCCGACATGGTTCAGATCAAGTCCGACTGAGAGATGGCTCAACATTGGATTAAGTTATGGAGATTTGAGTTGATCATGGACCTAATTCGTTGGCATGACGGGGAGATGTCCGCCAGTGAAGTGGGTGAAGTGCATTCTCTCGAGGGTGAGAGATGAGCGAGGGACCCACATGGCCGCGATCTGAATCGACATTGACATGCTAGCAGCTGATAGACTAGCAGCCTAGCTAGCTACGGAATACTCACTAGCAGTGAGCAGTATAAGCGCAAAGTATGATCCGTCCGTGGGCCCGGAAAGAGGATCAGCAATCCGATCTTAGCGGAAACTCGGTGTCGGTGTCGGTGCAGGTGCAGTGGGTGACGATGTGTCGGGATTTGAGATGGAAGGAAGCGCCACTGAGCCACTCTCTGCCCTAACTGGAGTAGTAAGTATTCCAAATTCCAAATCACCCAAACCCCCCCCCATTCACCTCACTCACACCAAGACCCAGGAAACTGGGATTGTTCTTCGAGACACCGCAAATTGTCAACCCTTTCACTTTTTCTGAAACCCGCCAGCATGACAAAAAGCATATTTGTTGAACACCATGGAGATTCTATTTATCGCCCTGGATCTCCCGTGGTCGGGGTGAATTTCTCTCACTATTCTTGTGTATCATCATCATCATAATCATCTACTCTCCCTCTCCTCCCTCCTTGAGCTCAATAGTCTCAGCTATCGACATACTACTTATCTTCTATCCGACCACACTGCCCCCGCCGGTCCTCTGTGCCCACTTGCCTTGCCTGCCTGCCTGCCTGCCTTGACCGAAACTCCTTTGTCAATTGCATTCCGACGCGATGGGTCTCTGGGAGTCGTCCTTGGCGTGCCCCAATCTGGGCCAGCACCCATACACCGACTTGTTGACCTTTGCTTTCCGCAGCCCCTACCACTACGACCGCGAACGTCCATTGTTGATCGATGCTGAGAATCCTTCGCAGTCTTTCAATGCGCGGCAGTTTGAGACCCTGGTTCGCACATTGATTGCAGGATTGAAGGCCCATGATGTGCAGCGAGGGGATTGTGTGCTGGTCCACCTGGGAAATAGTGTAAGTATGCATGGCGATTTCCCCTTTCGTCGTTCGTTCGACACCGATTCTAGTCCCCTGCCCTCCACTCCTCCCTACCCACTGTTCCAATTGGAATCGATTCTTTTTTTTTTTCCCTTTCTTTTTCATTTTTTTTTTCATTTTTTTTAAATTAAGGAATTAATCCTTTCCGTCCGAATCAATCTACCTCCCTTATACCATGCTGACTCAATGGGGTAGATCATATACCCCGCACTCTTCTATAGTATCATCGGCGCTGGCGGCGTGTTCATGGGGACCAACGCACGAAGTCAACCCCAAGAATTAGACCATCTGCTCGAGCTGGCCGAACCCAAATTAATCATCACCTCTCGTGATGCCCTCTCCACCGTGCTCAAAGTCTCGGCCGACCGGGGAATGCTGCCGAGGCAAGTCTGCCTATTGGATGAGTTCGCAGGAGACCACATTGGCCAGCTCCTGCTCTCAGGGCCCTTGGCCTATGCGGCCGCAAGCGCTCCGTATCTCGCGACCAGCGAGGATGGCGCCTACCTGAGCTTCGCTCATCTCCTCGCGTACGGGGAAGATCATTGGCTCACCTTCCATGACGAGGTGATTGCCAAATCCACGCCGGCCGCGATGTTCCCCACCAGCGGCACCGGGGGGTTACCCAAGGCGGCGATTCTGTCGCATCACGCTATCATATCCCAGCATCTGAGCATCCAGTACGAGGTTCCCTACGAGGTGACGCGGTTAATGTCCCTGCCCATGTTCCATCTGTTCGGGGCCCTGTGGACCCACCTGTTCCCCATTCGCTACGGACAGCCGTTGTTTGTGCTCTCGCGCTTCGAGCTCACGCAGTTCGTCGCGGCGGTGTATCAGTATCGCATCTCCGAGACCTACATGGTTCCCGCCATGATCCACGCGTTCAACCGCTCGACCATCCCGGTTGCGGGCTACTTGTCGTCGTTACGCTATGTGGGAGTGGCCGGCGCACCCATCGACGGAGCGTCCATGCAACAGTTCCGGCAACTGCTCCATGAGGATGCGCATGCGGCGCAGCTCTGGGGGATGACCGAGGTGGGTGTGGTGTTCCAGAACCGGTACGGAGAGCTAGGCGACGCCGGAAGCATCGGAAGGCAACTCTCTGGCTACGAGGTCCGCCTGGTGGGCGAAGATGGCGAGAGGGTCGCGGAGGAGAACAAGCCTGGGGAGTTGTATGTGCGTGGGGCGGGCCTGTTACTGGGGTACAAGGGCCGAACTGACGCCAAAGACACGCATGGTTGGTTCCGCACCGGGGATGTGGCTTATGTCAGAGACGGGGTCTACTACATCCACGGCCGCACGAAGGAGCTGATCAAGGTCCGAGGGTAAGCTCTTTCTTCCTGCCTCTCTCTAATCTGTCAGATCCTAACCCAAACTGGAACCAGATGGCAAGTCGCGCCGGCCGAACTCGAGGCCATCCTGCTCCGGCACCCTGGCATCGAGGATGCGGCGGTAATCGGGGTTACATCGCACGACGGCAGCACCGAGCTCCCGCGCGCCTTCATCGTGCGGGCGAAGAATGCCGCCGGCCACCGACTGACGGCGGAGGAGGCGTACTCGTTCACGCGGCCGCAATTGGTCAGCTACAAGGCGCTGGACGGGGGCATCCTCTTTGTGGAGGAGATCCCGCGCACGGCGAGTGGGAAGATCCAGCGGTTCAAGCTGGCGCAGATGAACACTTATCGCGAGATTGTCAGCTCGCTGCTGACGCGCTTCCAGGGCGCTAGTCTCCAGTCGGTCGGGATCATGCATAAGGGCCGCATTACGGTTTGATTGTTGGGGCCATGTACAGTACCCCTCTCTTTTTTGTTGGTGGGTTTGGCGTTTGCGGGTTGTTCGCTGGATGGGGATGGTTGTCCTCTGGATGGGAATGGTTTTCCTCTGGATGGGGGATGGGTTGAGGCGTTCTTGAGCTTGCACTAAGTGACTATATCCGATATTACTACACAGATGAGGGGTAGCGACCTTGCGGTTGGACTATACACAACCTAACAATCTATCTTATCACAAATCTACGAAAAGTGTACTGTAGCTTGTAACGGCTACTAAGCTTTGATTCGCGAGAGATGTGGAATAAGCATACCGAATTTCCGCTTGATGTTACACAGTTACACAGGGGTTTTGGTCTGGGGTTGCACTGCAGAATAACTCAGTGAAGACACGCACCAGCTGTCATGCCTCGTATCTCGTAACCGGAAATGATACACAGGTGCTTACTCACATGGCGTCCTGGTCGCTGCCAAGGGCCAAGGAAGGTGGATTGTTAGGCATGCGCAGGTGCATATCTTGCCTACATCCACTAAGCGGGAGAAAGAGGATGAGGGGAAAGGGGAGGGGAGGGGATAAGCTCAAGGTGATTCAGGGTACATTTACTCAGTGGCCAAGGTGATTCAGGTACAGGACTGTCACTACATGCATGGGTTAACTTACTCACCGAACGGGTGGGATTGAAATCTGGGTCCTGGCTGCACAGCACGGCTCTGAGGGTCTTTTCTCGTTAGTAGTTGCGGGTTTTTGGATTTGGTTGTACGGTACTGGACACACTACACACTGAAGAAGGATCGCGGTCTGGGGAGGTGTTGTCTATTCCGTAGGTAGGTAGGTAGGTAGGTAGGTAGGTAGGTAGGAGCATTAAGTTACCTTCAACTAGGTAATCGATTCCGGCAGCCAGGGTGGGTGGTATCAGTCGTTGACATGACATGCCATGCCATGACATGACATCCACCCCTTCTGGCTCCGGTTCTGGTTCCAGGCTTGCCTGCACATGCACAACTGACTGTACCATGTACTGTATCCATAGCAAGAACTGGAACTACCCCACGATCTACTCACTCTGCCTCTGCTTACAGGTCTTCCTCGCTTAGTTGCTGTTGGTGGATTGGTTGCCCAAACTAACCGGGGCTGGATGAACCAAGCAGCCCTGCAAACAGTTTGCTTCGTTTTGATTACCCAGGGTTTTGTTTGCCACTGCAGAAAGGAGTTGCTTTTTTGTGCCTGATGGCACAGGAGGACTGGGCTGGTTCGCAATCTTCACGTCTTGATCCCCTTCCCCCTTCCCCTTGCAGATTGTGGTGTTTGTTTCTTGGATGGAGGAATGAGGGCGGGTCGGGGGGGGTGTTGCTTATCGTGCTGCACGTAGGGCCTTCAGGTTTGGTCTAGATGAATTGAGGGGCTACTACTCTACTCCAGTCTAAGAGGTAGTCAGAAGTTAGCGTGGGGTCAAGATCATAGATAGATATCAGTGGATTCGAGGCTGGAATAGGTGGGTGGGTGGGCTGGTGCCCTTCTCGACCGCGGGGACTCCTCGGTCCAAACTGGAGGTCTCGAGGTCTCAGTGCTCGAGGGCGTCCAATCAGCCCCCAAACGCTGAAAGCATCTACCTAGTAGTAGATTATCTAGACGCATGGAATCCAGGTTGTCATCTGGTCAGACCGGGACGAACCGCATGGACCTCACGAACTGCTTGCTAAGGCGAAGGGTACTCTCGTGTTGGACGAGTAGGGCTGGCGATTGTCACTGGCCGCGATAATCCATCCATCCAGTTCTGCAGCGGAGAATTCCAGCCAGATCACCCTCATCAACAATAGACAATTGTGCAAGCAATGGATATTGTCCGAGCCCGAGAATCGGCTCAGCTGAAAACACCCCAATTGTGTGGAAGGCGCAATGGGCGAGAGTTGATGGTGAAGGTGTCCTACCGACTAGTGCCCCAATAGTTCGTGTCTAGTTCGGCCACGACCACCTCATCTAGAACCGTTCTTTTCTTGCGCCACAGCCCACAGCCCATAATCTGCCTCGTGCCACAGCGGAGAAGACAGCTAGCTAGCTGATCCTCCGTCCTGCGTCCCGTCCAGTTCGAACCTCTCCGTAACTTACTCCTCGTTCCTTCGATCCTGCGGTCCCGGCGGGCGTCGTCGGCTAAATGGAACGGACTCTGGGAAACTCTGGGAAACACATGGCGATGGCAATGGCGATGGCAAGGAGAGACTAACTACAGCCACTGGTTCTTAGTGCCTTGAATCCAGCCAGCCAGCCCAATCTCTCGCGGTTCAACTAATCCGGACAATCGAATTGTCTCTCTCGAACCGGCCGCATTCGGAAGGTCACATACGCCGACTACCACCTAGTTACTAGGTAACTTAGTTAATTGATGACTGGCAATCCCTCCGCTGTCATCTTGCTGCACCCTTTCCTTGGTCCTAGTTCTTTTTCTTTTCATGAATCATTTCTTTTTTACTATTCTTTCCTTTTTTTTTTTTTTTCCGTATTTTTGCTTTTGTCGGATCTTCGCGCCCGCCCTTCCGCCAGCCTCTCAACCAGATGCCATCATGCTCGGCGCCTCCCACTAAACAAAATCCAAAACAAAATCCTGCTCGCGAGCCTGTGGTCTGTCCGTCCTCGACCTCTTGCCTCTTGCCACTCGGAAGGCCAAGTCCAACGCGCTGGATTCGAATTCCAAACCAACTTATCCGGTTTGGGGATGCAGCTCCGTAGGCGAACGCCAATGTCCATGCAGCGTAAAGTCATGGCTTGCTCGAGGAATCCGCCCAACATCAACATCACCCAGCGTCATGATTGCCCTCGCCCGCTGATCGGCCTTGTCGTATGGGGACCGATCGTCCCCTCCGTCCGGGCGCTAACTTCCACTCTACTCACGCAGGCGGTAGCATTCGAGTTCGCTTCAGCTTTGCAGGTGTACAGTCGGTGCAGTGTGGTGCAGTGCATACCTGCATACCTGCAACCCAGTAGTGCAGTTTAGGTATGTCAGAGCCCTTGCGCGCGAAACCTGACCCTGCATTTGACAATTGACAAACTCCATGCCAATTAGTGACGGGTGACATCAGCAACTGAAAAGCTCCAGCTTGTCACTAAGCTACATAGTACGTCCATGCTCCGGGCACAGGGTCAAACGGTAAGTCGTAAGTCGGTAGTTGCGCTGCATTATCCGAGTAGGAAAGGCCTTGCCTCAGGCTCGGTCGCTCACTTAGATGTGACTGCCTGAATCTCCCCTCCGTTCGATTCGAGTGCCCCCTGTTTTCGTGATGCCGGTCCTGTCTGCCTCTCCTCAGACTAATGCACCACCCCTGTCGATTGCTACTGGTGCTGGGAACTGGTTCCCAACGCTGCACCTGCTCGAGGTGCGCAACGGTTTCCTGTGGCGCTGCAATGCCACGTCAACACGCCTGTAAGGGCAACGGGGGCGAGAGGCGCATCGTTCAGCGAACGCTCATCCGGTCAGCCTGGAGGCGTGGCTCGCCAACCGTCTTTGTTCTCCCATGCCACGAGCAAAGGCTTCGGGTAGGTAGGTCCCGCAACCGTGACCTTGGCGCAGCTTGGGCAGGGCCCAATGCCTAATGCTGTAATTCAATTTCGGGCGCTTTCGCAATCGTTCGCTGCTATCCTACTCTTCTTATTTTTCCCCCTGTAAGGACGGATCTCATTTGTCGCTTTGTATCTCAACTAGCTCGAAGCGAAGTTACCCTAAGCTCGTCGGCCGGATCAAGCCCCATCCGTTGCCTTCACATGTCATCGTATGCTGGGTACAGAGCGAGAGCGAACCATTGGCGGATTGATGTAGGATGAAGCTCGGTTCAGATTGCTATAGAGCCTGCATCTTCGATATTGGGTGCAATGTGACACAATATGCCGTGCTGTGATGAGGTGCAAACCGATGTCGTACAACCCTCGTATAGCGCGCTTACTCCGTATGCAGACCGTGTAGACGAGCAGAGGGTGGTCGAGTATCTGCAACCACGACGTTGCGGGCTCCATGCTTATCACGCATGGCAAAGGAGCTCAACCCCTGCATCGTGACAGGCGCCATCTGGGATGCATATCCCCCTGGGTCTTGTCAAGGAACTGCTGCACAAGCGACGACCGGCTCGTCGCGGTGCAGTGACCAAGACTGCCCGATGCCTTGTCTCGTCCCAGGATATGGATCCTTCATGCGGCGAGGGAGATGCACCCCTCCTTTCCACATCCTACGAGATGGAACATGAGTGACGGAGTCCAGTTCCCTTGGAACCGTCGACGGACGAGCAACAGCCCGCCGCTCTCGCTCGCTCACTCGCAACCAGCCCCTCTAGATCAGAGAATCCCATAGCCCATCCACCAGACCCCCCAAACCAACGGGCCCAGCGCCCCCAGCACAGCAGGTCCAAAGGACATCTCCAACACGCCCCAGATCCACATGGTCCCAAAAGCCGGCGCCTGCTTCATGACAGCGTAGTAGGGGTCCTCGTTGGTCATGACCATCAACCTGCACCCTAGGAAGACGGTCAGCGGGAGAAAGACGATGGTGCGGAGACTCGGCGGGAAGAGGAGGCGGCGCAAGAACGCCCACGACCGCTTCTCCCGGTCCCACGGCAAGAGCGAGAGCGTTTCCTCCCCCGGCCTGTTCGTCGCCCCGATGAAGGAGACAATGTGCCCGTGCGCCAGGTGGATCAGCAGCGCCAGCATGGGGAGGGCCACGAGGGCGGATTCGCGGACCAGTTTGTCCAGCTCGATCTCCTGCGCGTACTGGTGGGCGGCCAGGTAGGCGAGCGTCAGATGGAGGGTCGTCAGCGGCACCGCGAGGAGCAGCGTGTCGATGACCGGGGGGATCGGGTGTTCGAGCTTTTCTCCCTCCTCGTCCTCCGCGTCTTCCTCCTCGTCCTCGCTAGAGATCTCGTTCTCGCCTCCGTCCGTGTTTTTTTGCTGCTGCTGCTGCTGCTGCCGCCGCCGCGCCTTCTCCGCCCGCTTCATCGCCTTCTTCTTCGTCTCGTGCGAGAGACTTCCCTCGTCGACGGCCGAGATCTCCCCCGTCCGCGGGTCGACGGTCACGAACTGTGTCTGCGTGCCTGCATTCCCATTGGGAGTGGAAAGCTGTCCCAGTAGTTCCCCCTGTCGCTCGGCGATGATATCCACCAGGGTTTTGCCGGTCGGGTTGGTGGAACCTGTTGGTGGATGGGCGAGCGGGACGGAGGCGGGATCGAACGCGTCGGTGGGTCGGGTTTGTTTCGCTGCTGAGCGGCGTTGTTTTCGGTTTTTGGGTCCTTCCATTGTTGTTGTGAATGGAAACTGATTCGGTGGGTGCCAGGTGAAGAGCCGGCGAGGATGTCAGGGGTGACAGGAGACAGGTGACAGGTGAAGGTGGAGATAGGAGGTAGGAGGTGGGAGTGTAAGAGGGTTCGTGATTCTGGCGCGGTGGTCGATTCGTTCAGGGGTTCGTGCTATGCTGGTCGGACTTTGCCTTAGGGGTGAGTTTGCAGACTGGTGGATTGGCTGATTTGGAATTGTGAGTGAGTGGGTGAGTGAGTGTGATGTCTCATCCGCCTGGCTTCGAAGTTGTCCGACTTTCGACCCTCACTCGGCGGTAAGCGGGGTTAAGCCGGAGCTATAAATAGTATCTACTAATATTCTTATACAGTACAAATGTAAGGAGACATGTAAACCACGACAGCCTGATAACCACAGACTCGATACTCATATATTTGTAGTAGTGTGACTGGGAGGAAGAGCATTGACGAAATACTTGCTAGAATTCACAAGCTTGAGTCGAGCTACTACAATGTAAGTCCCTGCTTCTAAACTGTCACTTTTCTCACTGCATTATTCCTGACTGGGAGGGCTGGAGGAGATGGAGCTAGCCTTGCGGCTGAATTTCCCCTGCATAATATTCATTTCTGTGTCGGTCTGCCTGCTTTCGCTGGCCTGTCTCGGCCTACGATCGATTCATGTGACTTACAGGTTATCTAAGATTTACTTTTGACTTACAAACTATCCAATCTACTGGTAAACGATGGCCAGGACTATCGTAGCATTAAGCAAATTAAGGTAATAAGGTAGTACACACGCGTCAAACTCCAGCTATCCTATCACCATCGTCGAATCCCGAAACAAAACGAGCGAAACATGCGTGTATCGTGAATCATTGCTCTTGTGAAAACAAACTCGGTCTATTCAGTTGTCATCGGTGTCCTCCTAACCAGACTGGTACAGAGCGGGTCCGGCCACGACATGAGGGTTCAGCATGGTGATGTTGAACGGAGTCACGAAAAGGTCCGAGTCCGTGATGGCAATGAAGAGAGTGCCGTTGGCGGCCGGGTCACCAGCGTAGGTCGACACATCGGGCTGGATGGTCGAACCCGAGTTCGATCCGTTGAGGGTCAGCGGCGAGTAGGTCACGTTCAGCTGCGAGGCCCAGGCGACGAACTTGGGCTCGCCCGCGCTGGTCGAAGTCACGTAGCTGTTGTTCGGACCCACGGCCTTACCGGGCTCCTCCCAGGTCAGGAAGACCTGACGGCCAGGGTAGGAGAGGGGGTTGGTGCGGTTGTGGGTGATCGCCGGCGAGCAGTCGATGCCAACCTCGGTCGAGTTCAGGCACGAGTCCGACTCGGGAACCACCGTGCTGTTCGACACGTTGGTGCCGTTGCTAATGGTCTCGCCAGACGCCTCAGAGCCCTTGATCCGGAAGGGGTTGGGCTGGTTGACTATGCTCAGAGCAGGGAAGTTCTGCCAGGCCAGGCGAGTTTGGCCGGCGGGGCAGTCGGCAATGTATGGGGCCAGAAGAGTCCAAGCCCAGGACTGGGGAACACCAACCTCAAACCACACCGGCATGGGGAAGAGACCCTCGAACTGACGGAAGATGAGCTGCTGTCTAGCTTCCGTGGTGATGGACTGCGTAAGAAGGGTCGCAGCCTCGCGGGAATCAAGGTGAGCCAAGAATCCGTAGACACCAGCCTCACCGAAGCGAGTGAGCTTCTGGCAAAAGTCGATGAACTCGTGGACAGTGGTGTACGGGTAGACATAGTTACACTGCTTGGGGGCTGCAGCGCCCAAGATGTTGGTCAACATGGTGGCATGTCCAACTTCCTGGTTGGCCATGAACTCAATCAGATGGCGATCCTCTGCGTCCAATCCAGCAGCAGTGAAATCCTCCTCCGAGAAGCGAGCCAGTCCGTCGTGGAACAGATCGAGCTCAATGTACTCTTGGTAGAGAGCGAGAGCCTGGTGCAAGATTAGCAGGTGGCCGCCACAGTCTCCGAAGGGTTGGAGAGACGTACCAATGACTCGAAGTCGAAGTCACTCTTTGCATTGTAGACGGGCTCGGTGCCGTTGGTTCCAACGCCTCCTGCAGGGGTGTATGGACCGGGCTCAGGGGCATGAAGCTCTCCATCACTAGGATAGTCGAATGCCCCTGGGGCAGGAGGCAGAGGCGAGACTCCAGGGCCGATGGAGCTGGCAGTCAGGGCTCCAGTAGTGGTGGGGGTTCCGGTGTATGGGATATGCGCCTGAGAGGTCGAGTAGGTCACCACAGGCGGAGCAGCAGCCGTAGCTGTCTCAGCGGCATCGGTAGTGCGAGCGAAGAGTTGGCCGGGCAAAGCCGAAGCCAAGGGCGAGCCCAAAGAGCTGAGCAGCAACAAGCGGCCCCAAGTCATTTTGAATGGTGATTGTAGGTAAGATTGGGCTGTTCGAAACCTGGCGCGTGGTAAACTTTCCAAAAGACACAGGCACGGAGATTCAGTTATAAAAGCTTCACGAAGACTGTTGCGTAGTGACCCGGCTGTGACGCAACCGGGTAATCATCGTCCATGTTCAAAAATCTCTGCTGGAGGCCGACTAAGTCCTGCTCGACCCAAGCAGTACCTGGGCTAGGTTCACGGATGGATTCGGCACCGCATGTAACCAGCTTGTATGACCCTGAAGCGATGTCAGTTGAGACCTCAAGCAGGCCGTCGACCTCGCTCCACCACGTCGATCCATCCGGTCATGTCGGCAAGCAGACATTGGGCTACAGCCGAATAAGGCTGAGCCTCAGTTTGGGATACAGTAGACGTGCTGGCCGCATGGACGCTGTTCCATGGTTTCTTCATGAGAATAGCAGTGGGTAGTATAGAATGGGGCGTCAGTGAACGAGCATGACGACTAAGTGAAATCAGGAGCTAAGGGGGGATCTCCGTCCGAAAGGGGTCTTGATCGGCCCTTCGCACTGTGACACAACCCTGGATAGCCATGGTTCAGTCAGCCCGGGCTTACAGACAATCAGTATGGTTAACTGAATAACTTGGTTGTCAAGCAAAGAGAAGACCCACTTCAACAAATCCCGTGCTCCACTGACTAGACACACCTTAAGCTACGCGGGAGCTGAGAGCGCCGCATTGAGGCAGGCTCAGGGTGGTCAGAGTGACGTGCAGGTAAGATGGAGTCGAGTGGATGGGCAGGAACATTTATCCAGGGAATCAGAGCGCACGAGCGGCTTTATTTTGGGTTGAATGGTGGAAGGTGGTGGAAAAAGTGGAAAAAGTGGAAAATAAGGTGGAAGATGATGCATTCATCGCCGAGGTCGGATGAGGCAAGTGTGACCTCCCTTCGGCGTCACCTCCGGTTTTTCCACCGGGCTCGTTCGGGAGTTATTTTCTTTTTTTTGCTTGTCCTTCTCCCCGCCAAGGCTGTTCCTGACAGCCCACGGCTCAGAACTGGGGAGTCCATGGCCAGCTGAGCAGTTGTGGTTCGACAATGGCATCGATGCCGATGGTTGCGAACGGCAGAAGGACAATGAACGATCGCTAGGAACAATAGGCTGTGTGACGTGATCGGATCCGGCCGAGAACAACTCCAGCTCCTAGGAGTAACTGACAACTTACCCCGCATCGTCTTTGGTATGTGTCTTTACTCACCTCACTCACTGTCCACTACTTCTGCAACCCCTTTCGCAACCAGCCAGCCAGTTGTGCTACCAATTGCTATCTCCCAGAATCCAGTCACTGCAACATGTCCCATCTTCGAGTTGCGGAGTTATTCTCCGTCGAGGGCCTAGTGGCCGTCATCACGGGGGGTGGTAGTGGTGAGTCCCCTCCAGCTCCTCCGCATGTGCCCCTAGGAAGGATGTGTCCAGGACGTTGCCACTCACCGGTGCTATTCTCCTTCTCCTGCTAGGATTGGGCCGGATCATGGCTCTCACGCTTGCCGAGAACGGCGCATCCAAGGTCTTCATCATCGGTCGCCGCTCAGAGGCCCTGCAGGAGACGGCGGCCCAGAGCTCCAAGCCGGAGGCCATCGTCCCCATCCAGGCCGACATCTCGTCCAAGGAGTCCCTCCAGGGGGCCTACGAGGCCATTGCCGCGCAGACGGGTCATGTTGATCTGCTGATCGCGAACAGCGGGATCATGGGTCCGGTGAACCGCCCGCCCGGGCCCAAGCCGGACGGATCAGCTCCCAGCCTATCCGAGGTGCGCGACCAGCTGTGGTCCGCATCCATGGAGGAGTTCTCGAAGGTGTTCGAGGTCAACGTCACGGGCGCCTATTTTACAGTCCTCGCTTTCCTGCCGCTGCTGGAGGCGGCCAACCAGCGCCGCCCGGCGCCGCAGAAGAACAAGGCGTCGGCCCCAACCGCCCAGGTCATCATCACCAGCTCGATCGCGGGCTTCAACCGTCGGGTGCCGTTCAGCGTCGCCTACAACCTCTCCAAGGCGTCGACGAACCAGCTGATCAAGATCCTCGCCACCACGCTGTCGTCGTACGACATCCGGGTGAATGGCATTGCGCCGGGACTGTATCTCTCGGAGATGTCGACCATGAACTTCCAGAACGGCGACAAGGGAATCTCCGACGGCTCTTTTCCCCGCGACATGATCCCCCTTACACGTGCAGGTAGCGAACAGGATATGGCCAGTTTGATTCTGTGGATGGCCGGCCCGTCAGGCGCATATCTCAACGGCAACATCACGATAACCGACGGAGGCAGAGTGAGCGCGGTTCCATGCACATATTAGTAGCAGGGGAGAGGCGGCTATTGCACATAGACGAAGACTTCCTCGTAGATACTATAAGATGAAATGCTAGATCTTAGAAATAGAATGAATGCCAAGCGACCTCTCGAATACAAGCCCTCAATAACAAAGCTTCCGTTCAAAACGTCCAATGCAACGATGCGGTATTTATCATCCTGCTGAACGGTGTTACGATGTCAAACTGATGGGAAAGCCAAAGATCCAATACTCCTTCCGAACGCCCAGTGTCATCATGATGAGAAATATTAGTAGGTTGCGGTCAGTCGCTGCACGAGGTAGTCTCCAGCGGTGATCCCAGAGTACTTGAGCGGGCGGACATCCTCTCCGTAGGTTCCGGGGATGGCCTCGATCATCTGGTCATTATTGGGGTTACAGAAGTACGCGATGCTGTAACGGTCCGGATACACGCCGGAGCCGTCCTCGTCGTCATTCTCGTCTTCGTCGACGACCTTGGGAGGCTCGACGACGCGATGCCTCGTGCTCTTGATCGTGTCATTGGACCAGCGGGCCAGCAGGTCGCCGGCGTTGACGACCACGGTATCGGCGATGGGGGTGGCGTCGACGAAGGTGCCGCGGGGGCTGCGGACCTGGAGGCCGCCGCGGCCGTCCTGGAAGAGCAGGGTGATGGAGCCGTAGTCGGTGTGCTCGCCGGCGCGGACCTGCAGGGGGTTGTGGCGGAAGACGCGCTTGTCGACGGCCGGGTAGTGCAGCAGGCGGAGGTTGTTGTCGCCGGCGTCGACGAACGGGTCGAAGTAGTGCTCCGGCAGGTGCATGCCCAGCGCGATGGCCCGCATGACCTCGGTGTGCAGCGCCTTGCACATCTCGAAGAACGACAGCATCACCGCCTTGAACTCCTTCCCCTGGTCGTCGAGATGCTCGGGCCAGCGATTCGGGAGCCCCTCCACGCCTTCCCGGCCGATCTCCATCGTCTCTTTGAGGTCGGGGATGCTGCTGCGCGACGCGGCGGCGACGTCATCGTCGACCTCCTCCACGGTGCTGAGCTTCTCTTGGCCCGTCTTCACGTACCCACGGTTCGCTTGTGGGGTCGTCCAGCACAGGCTGTCTTTCTGATCCTGGGGCCGCGCGAAGAACCGGGCGGAGGTGCCAAAGACGTGGCTAACCACGGATGGGGGCACGCCGTGATTGCTGAGATAGAGGAACCCGGAGGTCTTGAAGGCGTGCACGACCGACATGGCGACTTCATGTTTGTCGGCGGGGGTTCCGTGCAGGAAGGGCCCGAAGTCGATGATCTACAAATACAAAGGAAATGGGCGACCCTCCGTCAGCGAGGATTAATGTAGCTGAGGCCCACATACTCGTTGCGCAAGGAATCCTCAAGGAAAGAAAGCAAGTGGCTACTCACTGGAATCACGAGGTCATCTTTCTCGATTGCCGTGGTTACAGGGTGGCACTGCTGTTGCGGCAGATTGCCTTCCATCCTGATCGCACACGTAGAGTTCCTAGGAGATTTCAGCTGAGAGAGAGATAAATGCTAACAATGTAGGCAGGTCGAGTATGAATCGTTTAATATCGGGTGTAGATATCGCAGAAGACGTAGCGGGTGAACACGAAAGTCATGCGGAGGGAAGCAGTGAGATCACTACTGTTCTTATCCGCTCGCAGAACCAAGGAAGGGAGGGGGCGGAGAGCACTGCAGGAGCAAAGAAACAATGAATGAATGGGCCTGAGCCTGCATGGCACCACATGGGGAAACCATATCGGGGGTCACTGCACTGTACACAAGCAGTCCCCTACAACTTGGTGGAAATGGGCGGGGGAAAGATAAGGCCTGACAGTTGATCGTGGGAGGGAGAGAGGGGTGCGATATGGAGATAAGTAAGTGCTTAATTCCAAGATAAGATAGATAGATAGTCCTTGAGATCTGAAGTGCGTGCTGAAGAACAGACACACGATAATCAATCCTCTGAACAGATTGAACAGATTACTACTGCAGGAGAGATCAAGGCGATGATTGCTGGCTGCTGGCTGCAGTATCTGATAAGTCATCTTCATGCAGGATGAGGTATTCAACTGCCCTGAGGTATCAACTTAGCCATGTGCGTCTTTCCCCTCACTTTTGCACCTCTACCCCTCCATCCCACCCCCCATTGCCAGCCATTACTTCCAATCTCCCCCTCTAACCAACCACTACTGACTCCATCCAACTCAACCCCCAGCTCGACCAGCCTGCAAACAAACATAAACATGGCGCCTCTCATCGTCGACATCCACACGCACGTCTACCCACCCGCGTACATGCAGATGCTCCGCGCTCGCAAGACGGTACCGTACGTGCACGACCCGGCGGACGCCAACGCTCCGCCGCGGCTGATCATCCTGTCCTCAGACGACGACGCCTCCATCCCGCTGGACCAGCGCGGCCGACCCGTGGACGCATCCTACTCCGACATCGAGGTCAAGCTAGCCTTCATGCGCCGCCACGGCATCAACAGCAGCGTGATCTCGCTGGCCAACCCGTGGCTGGATTTCCTGGCGCCCGAGGAGGCGCAGACGTGGGCGGAGCGGATCAACGACGACCTGGAGGCGACCTGCGCGGGGGTGAACCGCGCCGCGGACCCGGAGAACACGCGGGCGCTGCACGAGAAGGAGACGCTGTATGCCTTCGGGGCGCTGCCGCTCAGTGCGCCGAGCGCGGAGGTGGTCGTCCGGGAGATTCGACGACTGAAAACCCTGCCGCATCTGCGGGGCGTGATCATGGGCACGACCGGCTTGGGAAAGGGGCTGGATGATAGCCGACTCGACCCCGTGTGGAAGGCGTTGCAGGAGACCGACTCCCTCCTGTTTCTGCATCCGCACTACGGACTCCCCGACGAGGCCTTCGGCGGCCCCGAGGCGATCAACCGCTACGGCCATGTCCTGCCCCTCGCCCTGGGGTTCCCGCTGGAGACGACCATCGCCGTGACGCGGATGTTTCTAGCCGGGGTTTTCGATCGGTTCCCCGGGCTAAAGATCCTGTTGGCGCACTCCGGCGGCACGCTGCCCTTCCTTGCGGGGCGCATCGAGAGCTGCATCCTGCATGAGCGCAAGTTCGTGGCGAACGGAGGCGATGTGCCCGGTCCGCAAAAAAGTGTCTGGGATGTTCTCAATACCAACATTTATCTGGATGCGGTGGTCTACGGTACCGCGGGCTTGAAAGCCGCGGTAACTGCCGCTGGTGGTGCGGATCGTCTACTCTTCGGTATGGATCCTGAAAGATTCGCAGGTCACTCATCAATGCTGACTTTGAACAGGAACTGATCATCCGTTCTTTCCCCCGCTTGGCAAGGATGACGAGGAATGGCCGAGCGTAACCACGAACTATAAGGCTATCCATGCTGCCTTCGAAGGGGAGGGTGAAACCGTTGCAGGGGTCTTGGGAGAGAACGCGGCTCGCATTCTGAAGTTAATATGAGTTTCAAACATCTCTGCAGCAATGAAATGGGGTTTTCTTTTGCCTGGAATATTTCAAATAATCTGACTATGTATACGTGCGTCTTGAGTCAGTATCTATATGTGCCACAAGCTATATTGCGTAAGATATAGTAGCTGTATGTTACCTTGGGTACCTGACAGCAGGGGTGGATCCTACAGTCACACCCGGGACATTATCCACTCAATGATGAACCTGCCACCAAGTCCCAACCGAGAAGTCTCCAAGTTTCTTGAACAAACCATTCCGATACAGATTGCTCAGGGAGAGGCGTCGTGTTGGGGGAGATGGTCAAAGTATCGTCATGGCGGAGAGGGCGCAAAGCTTCGCCGAATCTTGAGTCTTGACCAAATACCGCTTGCAGAAGAGTGCTTTGTAGCCTTCCTTTGATTCCTACCGCACAGTTGAGCTCCTCAGGCAACAACGGTGGGTTCAGTACGGTGAGCAATCTTTCAAGGGGTGATATGAGATGTTTGGCCTCTATCTCAGCAGCTAGGACGGATTCCTCGTCAAGCTGCGCATCCTTCAGGCCATGTGGGAGTGACAGATTAGTAGGGTCTCCTTCCAGATCGGATCGTAGATGGAGGTCTCTGAAGACGAACAAACAAAGTAACTCGCCAACACGACTGAGCAACACGTAGCTGAAACCGTTTCGTAGGTCTGAGGTCTTTGAGCAATTTCTGTCCAATGAAAGAGCCATTCTGCAAAGTAGCAGACTCATCAGCTGGGCAACCTCATCGTTCGTGCTTGATGGGATCTTATCGTTCGAATGCCCTGTCTTAGACCTTTTCAACCTCGCAGAGGACCTTGTTTTGGTCGCTGAGGCCGCAGTTGAAAGTTGCTGCTTAGCATTGAATCGGCAATGGATACCCAACGCTTTGATAACTGTTTCAGACAGTCGAGCAATGTGGAAAATGATCTGGCCACGGCCTTGCAATGCTGATTCACTTGAAGGGACCTTCTTCAATGCTCTAAGCAGTAGCTGGTGGGCGCTGTATATGCTGTTCAAAACCGCCGATACACTTGGATTCTTGACAACGGACGCATCTCTCCCTTCTGAACTGGAACCAGCTTGCCGTTGGACTGCACGGAATATATCGTTTTCTGCGACGGAGCACAGTTCACCTGTAGCAAGCGCAATAGCTGGAGTATTGGGACTTCGCTGCAACATCTTCTGCAGAGCGTAGAACCTCCTCACAAATGATGCTGTAGCTGCACGAATCTTTCTCAGCTTCCGGAATCTTTTCTCAACGTTATGACGGGAGTAGCTTACGCTCTTCAAGATATTCAGGTAGCTGACCGTCCAGCCCATTGGAGAGATTCTCAGTCAGCATGCAAGCTCTGCTCTGTGTCTGTGTCTGTTGTTTGGACTTTTTCCTTGAAGTAGTAGTGCCAGCCATACTAGCATCTAAGGTTGCCTTCCGCTTCGTGGATCCTTGTACCAAATCTTTGGGGACAGCATTCGAGCCATGCAATTTGGCGGTAAGCTTTTCGCTACGTTGTTCCAGCTCATATATCCGGTCAAGGAGTTTGCTCTGTTCGGCCTCGGATTTCTCGTATGCTTTTTGCCAGAATGCGACACTGTCGAAGAACTGATCTCGGCTTGTGGGCCGGTCTGTCGGCGTCCCTGCTTTGATGAATTGTCGTATGCGAGTAAAGTAATCTAATTGTTGCTTAGTACACCTCATATCGGCTGACTCAACCAGGGAACGTCTATGGCTACCTTTCATGGTGGTTCCGACTGGCTTATGTTTGACGAGGGCCAGCGCGAGCGCCAACTGCGAAGGCGATGGTATAGTGCTGTCAGCCATTCTGGAGAGCAAAACTAGAGCTGCTGAACGGCGAGTATCTCAGAGCAGATGAGAGAGCATATGCGCGCTCCTCTATAGAATGAATGTATAGATGGACGGCATTTTGTATGGTAGAAAACGATCATGTCGAATGCTTGTAGTCTGAAGCATCGCGCCGGTCGAGCAGAACATCTGGAACAGGAAGGAGCCGGGCATGCAGCATTTTACCCAAAGAGGTAATCACGAGAAGGTACCTCAGCACTGAAGGATTGACAAGCAAGACCTCCTCTAGCTTCAAGTATGTAATTCAAATCCATTAAACCCTCCTTATCACCACGAGTAATTTGGAGGCTCTGGACGAGTCTCTTGCACTGCGGGCTTCCGGTAGCATACCCGACAACATATACCGTGCAACCGTAACAAAAAGAACATACTAAAGACGATACAACCTTGCAACGACTAGAGTGGATGGGACGCAAGTACAATCAGTCAGTGGAGCAATTCTGACAACCAAAGGACGACAAGAGTTGACTGAGAAAGCTGTTTACCAAGACCATGTGACGCTTAAGATACAACTAGGTAGGTATGTATCGCGGAGCAAGCTAATAGCATTAACTACTAACTAATGGCAGCTCGACTTTCCGCCACCGCCAACGACTTCCGCTCCGCCAAACAATCGACCATCAACTTTCCTTCTCCAACCTTCAACCACCTCCAACCAGCGGCTCCTCACGCCCAACGACGCGCAACAATCCGTCGCACCCTACCTACCTACCTACCCTTTCACTCAACTTTGATCTTCTACACTGACACTCTCTCTAAACCTCACTACCTCTCACTTTCCCCGCCAAAAAAAACCAAATCACCACAATGTCCTCCTCCAAGGACGACCTCAAAGCCCACGCGGCCTCAACCGAGGACTTCTACGCGCTCCTGGACATCTCCCCGGCGGCAGCCGAGACCGAGATCCGACGCGCCTACCGCCGCACCGCCCTGAAGTACCACCCGGACAAGATCGCCAACCCGACGCCGGCCGACATCGACAAGTTCCACCTCCTGCAGATCGCCTACGATGTCCTCTCCGACCCGGCCGTGCGGCAGCTCTACGACAACGCGCGCGAGGCGCGCCAGCGCAAGCAGCGCGAGCGCGAGATGATGGATTCGGCCAAGCGGAAGATGCGCGAGGATCTGGAGGCGAGGGAGCGCGCGGGCGCCGCAGGGCAGCAGCAGCAGCGGCGGGGGGTGAAGAGGTCGTGGATGGGGACGATGGCGGATGGGGATGATGATGCAGAAGCAAAGTTGCAGAGGGAGATCGATCGGATTGCGGAGGATGGGCGGCGCAGGCGACGCGAGGCAGAGGAGAAGATCAAGCTGGAGATGGAGGAGGAGGAGAAGCTGATGCGGCTGGAGGAGGAGGAAGCTAGGAAGGCGGCCGATCGGAGCTCGCAGAAGGTCGACCGGTCGCGGGAAGGCGGGGGCACGAATGTCCCCGAGCTGGAGCGCGGGGTGAAGGTGCGTTGGGTGCGTGAGGGCCGCGGCTTGGATCTGGATGCGGAGCGCTTGAGGGCGCTCTTTGCGCCGTTTGGCAAGGTCGAGAATGTGCTGCTTCTCAAGGACAAGAGGCAGCGGCTGGGCGACAAGCGCGAGAAGAAGACCGTCGCGACCGGGGTGGTCATCTTCGCCTCCATTGTCAGCGCTCACGCTGCTGTTCTGGATGGTGAGAAGAAGAAAGCAAGCAACGATGCCGGCAGTGACTGGTCGGTCGTTGAGTCGGTCTTCTGGGCATCGGGCGCTCAGCCTGAGCTCGGCGCGGAGGCTTCGAACGGCACCTCATCGTCCGCTCCCGGCTCAGCAGCAGACAGCGCTCCTACACCAGCAGCAGCTCCCAAACCGTCGTTCAACTTCGCCGGATTGAAAGCGGCAGGCACTGCCAGTGCTGCCAAAGGTCCCGCAAAGGCGCCCTCCTTCGGTTCCTTTGCCTCCGCGGCCGCCAGCTCCCCGAAGCCTGCCCCTACCGCTGGCGCTCCCAACGGATCGAGTGCCCCGAGTCTGGAAGAGTTGACCTTGATGCGATTGCGGAACGCCCAGCGGGAGAAAGAACGCAAAGCTCTGGAAGAGCAACTGCGAAAGGAAGACGAAGCCGCAGATGCTGCAGAGGCCGCGGCCGCCCAAGCCTCCTAAGGTTGGTCGCATCTCGGCCGCTGTCGGTGGACCCCGGCAATCGCCTGGTCTTGTTGTATATAGAAAGTTTTCCTGCTGTAGCATAGAGATACCCATACTAAAGAATTACGACACCCTTACAAACAAGTTGATCCGCTTGAACTAGCCTTCTATCTAAATTACACATGATCATTTTATCATACATACACTTACTGTACATCTAAAACCCACGGACAAGTGGAACTACTCATGCAGTCGAGCGTCCTCTTCCTCCTCCTCCTCCTCCGCCGCCAACCGCTCAGCAAGCTCCCTCGCCCTCTGGCCCTCGCGAATCGGATCCCGAGCACGAGCCTGCTGCGTGCCGGAAGCGATATACTCTCTCGTCCACGGCGGCACGAACGCCTTAACCTTGACAGTCCGAATCTTGTCCCCCTCCGCCCCCTCTAACCCACCCCCCTCCGCCGCCGCCGCCGCATCCCAGCTAATCTTGAACTCCCGATCCAGGGTAAACTGCGTGGCCCCGTCCGCCGAGAGAGCAACATCCGTCATCATCTCCAACCGACACAGCGCCAGCCCGACATTCCCGACGCCAGCCAGGAACTTCCCAGCGCTGCGGCCCTTCGACGGGCCGACCCTGGAGATATCCAAACCCTGCACGCCGGCGGGGGGTGCCAGCAGCCCCGCGTCCACCGAGGGATCATAAACCGGCCCCCCCGGGACTCCCTCCGGTAAGCGATCCGCATACAACTGCACCGGCAGGATCCGCTTGCGCACCACCCCGGTGTGGCGGGTGCGGATGGTCAGCTCCTGGCCGACGTAGCAGCCCTTCCGGAAATCGATGGCCTGGGCCAGGTCCATATTGCATTCGAGGGGCAGCGAGGCGGCCCGCAGGATCTCCGTCTGGCCCTCGGCGACGCCGCGCAGCATGCGCCGCACCGTGTAGGACCCCAGGCTGGCTTCTTGGGCGTCCGCCTCCTCGAGCTGGCGCGCGAGATGCGTGCGCAGGTCCGCGTCGCCCGGCGTGACGAGTCGCAGCCCGAATCCCGGGGCTCGGGTGTCCACGCAGCCTGTGATATTGGCGCCCGCGGTGCCCCATCCGGCTCCTCCCTCCTCCTCGGAGGCCGAACCGCCCATGCTGTGTGCGGCCCAGCGGCCGTCGCCGTGCTGATTGTTGTGGCTCTTCCACGAGGCCCAGACGGTGCGTTCGGTGGGGTCGAGTGCGCACAGCTGCAGCTTGGCGCGGAGTTTGTGGCGTTTGAGGTGCTTCAAGAGCGCGGGGAGCTCGGCGGCGTCCGCTTCGATGAGCCAGCCCGGGTCGGCGGAGGAGGATCCGGTGGTCTCGGGAGCCGGGTAGATGAAGGCGTCGTTCAGAATGCGGCCTTGCGAGTTGAGGAATGCGACGTACGAGCCCTTGCCCTCGGCGCTCTGTTTGACCATGTTCTGGGTGACCAGGCCCTGCAGGTATGAGGTGCTGTCGGGCCCCGTCACGGAGATGAGGCCTCTGTTCGTGAGTCGAGTATAGCCGGCTTCCGGCGGGGGAGCGGGAGTCCCATGGTCGCGGCGCGGTTGAGCACTTTGATGGACGGTCGTGGAGAAGTGTCGGCCGCGGCTGATGCAGCGCGCGCACACGGTGCGTGGGGGACTGGTTAACATCATTCTTCTCTTTGCGAGGTGACGCTGACTTGGGGTCCTTGCTCGGCTCAGAAATGTGTAGATACGGTAGGCTGCTGATATCCGCGGATTAGGCGGTATGGGGAGGCAAAACAATCAAGAGCCATGACATAATTCCGCGGTATTACGCAGCTGAACGGCCCGCATGCCAGTCAGTTATCATCACTGATTGGGAATCATACATGATCAACACTGTAAAGTGGTCAATTACAACCGGAGAATAAGCACGTTTCATATTAAGCAGGACAATAACTCAAAATCTTGACGTTGGCAGTCGCTAAATTGAGTCCTAAAACTATCTAATCGATCCTGACCCTCATCGGGGTCCAGTGAGCTGAGTGAGGTTATTTTTTGCCCTTGGCAACACCTTCAAGAAAACCAAGTAAGAATGCCTTGTTATCAGGCGAAGCGACCCGGCTCGAAAGAGAGAATTGGCCATCGTCCGCTCCACTTCCAAACGGGGACGCGGCAGTAATGTTCAATGGCGTGAGTGGGCTAACGACACCAGAGGCACCCGCGGTCTTGGGTGCTGATGTGCTAAGCTCGGCAGGTGAAACTCCTGGTGACGCAGGTGCTCTCCCGAAGAGGGACAGCAAGGCTTCTCGTTGGGCAGGCGTCTGACTTGGACGGCGGTCAAAGTTCACTTGAGGCTGCGACTCCCGCCTGGGAATGGCAGGCTGAGTGCCGGCTTGCTGCTGATCTTGCTCGTTCACCTGAGCTTTCAAGGGCAACAGATCCACAATGTTCGGGTTATCGGAGCGGCGGAGAATTTGAGGCTGGAATGGTTTCGCCGGCTCCGGAGTGCCTGACTTTGCCGCACGGTTGCGCGAAGGAGCCCGGGATGACTGTGAGGATGCCGGCAGCGAGCCCGGTTCCTTCTTTGCAGATTGTGGCCTGGGCAAGATCGTAATAGGCGACGCGAGCGTTTGCGCCGGCTCGAGTTTCTTGTTTCGGCGATTCGATCCATTGACTCCTCGTTTAGGGGGGGGCTTGGAAGATGCCATAGGCTGAGGCATACCTGACAAAGGACTGGGCACTGCGGAAGACTGCCGCAGGTCTTTCGTGGCCGATGGGACTCTCCGATGAGCTGCCGGATGCCGGGCGGGGCTGTGCTCCCCACGTGGTCGTTGCAGAATCTGTTTCCTGGGCGGAGAGACAGATTGGGCTGGCAATTCCGCTGGCCCCGGTGTTGGAGGGACAGAAGACCCTCTCAGCAAACCTAGGAGTTGATCCTGGTGTTGCGAGGGCCGCCTGTCATGATGCGCAACCTTCTCCGCAGGTGGGACTAGGCTCGCATTAGATGTTTTGGGCGTCCTGCGAGAGTCGTCTTTGAACACGTTCAACAAGGCAAGAGAGTGAGTCGTAAGCTTTGGCGGTGGAAGCTTGCTTGCAGGAGGCACAGTCGCTCCCTGGATATTTGGCGCCTGGGCTGAATGAGAGAATTGGGGATCTCCAGTTCGTTGGTATGGAGCCGGGCCAGGTTGCGGCGCCGTGGGCAAGCTTGCTTGCACAGGATCGTACCTTGAAGGATTCGAGAGCATCTGCTCAAAGAACGGCGGCATTCCGTGATGACCAGGTGGTGCACCCGCATGACCCACATGAGCTGGTCGAGCAAGCGGTGGTACACCAATGTTCGAGACCGGTGCACGAGACACTGGAGTCTGCGGGAATTGCACAGGATTCATGGGCACAGGGCCTCGCAAATGTTGAGCTTGCTGAGGAAATCCAGGGAAAGAGGCCGTGTCAGGGTAAGGGGGTCCCAATGGTGGCAGACCATCTGGAATAGCGAGTGGCGGCAATGCCTTGTCGGGTCCAGGGGCATGCGGAAGAGCATCTTGCGACGAGCCACTCCTGAGGAGTTCTAACAAGGCATTGGACTTCGAAGTGATAGTCCTGTTATCCGCAGGGGTGGCTACATTCGCAGGATTATCCTGGACAGGAGCAAGGCCGTTGATGTTCAGAAGGCGCTTGAGATTAGACGAAGCATCGTGAGATGATGCGAGTTCTGGCAAATCGCTCGGGGTGGCCAGCTGGGCAGGAAGCTGGCTAGGCGTGAAGCCATTGACAGCCTGGGGTGCCTCATCCATCGACAGCTCTCCCTCAGTCTGCACAAGGTGCCTGGCTCCGGAGTGCGACTTGATCTCAGCTTTCTTCTGCTGAGCAATCCATTTCTTCAGCGGGTGCATGAAAGGGGCGACCATGTAGAACTTGTTTGCATTAGCCACAACCAGCCCTTGCTCCTGCTGCTTGCTCTTTTTGAGTGTCGGCAACTCCGAGAGCTTGTACCACTCGATCTTGCTGATCTCTTTCCGAGTACGAGGCTCGAAATGGGCGTCCTGTGGCACTCCGCGAAAGACGTACAGCCTCATGTGCTGTTCTCTCATGGTGATCTCGATGTATTTGGCGTCCTTCTCTTCCGGAACGAGCCCCGCCTCGCGTATATCATAGCCTGTCTCCTCGTAGACTTCACGGATTGCACAATCGATGTCTTTCTCACCCTTGTTGATTTTGCCTCTCGGGAAACTCCAGTTAGCACCTTTCTTCCAGCCTTTGACTAGGACCACCTCGTCCATGTCCTGGTTCAGCATGATGGCTCCGCGAACGGGTACACGGGTTTTATAAGCCAAGAACTCGGAGAAGGCGGTGATGTGGTGATAGTGCGACCATTGCGACATCAAAGGACAGTGCTGAAAGATGCGCAAGGCGAATGCTTTCAAGGATAACGACGGAAGAGCCGGATCGAGCGGCCGGATGAAGTCCTCGTAGAACCATTGTGCCTCTTCGACTTGGAAACAGATACGTTCAACGGATTCAAGTTCCTCACGTGGTAGGTTGATGATGAAGCGGACACATAAATCATCCAGCCCTGGGGGGAACCACCGTGTCAGCATCACTCATGTCAGAGGCGGCGCAGAAGACCGCGCGTCACAGCCGAACTCACAGTCTTCCAACTGCATTTTTGTTTCTGTCATACTGAAAAACGTGATTTAGCATCTCAGCAGAGGTAAGTATAGATAGATGGCTCTCCAGATGAATCGGAGAGAGCGCTAGACAGAGAGGTGGAGGGGACAGCACAGCGCGGCTGCAGCTTCAAGGAAGGGTGCCTTGGCAGAGCGCCACCCCTGAAGCGTACTTTGGTGAGAGTGAGTGAAACAGGAATAGAGGCGAATCAATGGCTTGATCACCAGGAATGAAGCTAATAGGGAAGCAAATGATAAAGGATAGACTAGAGGGAAGGTGACTCTTCTCAGCTCGACACCCGACGACGGCCTGATCAGGTTGGAAGAGAGCTCGGTAAGCACCAACAAGTCCGAGACGGGATCAATAATGCCCGGACGGGAGAGGGGGGGGCGCCATTCGGTCACACGCCACAATATTGTGGCGCAGCTACCCAGTAACACCACGGTATGACATGTGGTGGTGTGGCTGGTGACAAGTGCCGTGTTGTGCAATTCAAAGGGATTACGTAACAGGGTCGAAGAACAGCCGATGACGTCGGAGGTTGCTCGTGCCTCGCGTCGATCGACGTTGAAGTCAATGACTGGTTACAACAAGCTTTTTAAACCTGCTGACCTCCTTCTTCAGCTGAGCATGATAGCACGTCAAGGAAAATTTCACAAGAGCGAAATTGTGTCTGTGCGGGTCATTGTATAAAAGAATATTCACAAATAACCCGAGACACCCTCTGCTGGCAGGCCTTCTAGGTTTTGCAACCAAGACTCCCCTACACAGAATTTTCTGGGAAATTAAAAGAAACAACCACGAGATATGACGACTAAGATTGCATCGCTTGTTGGCAAAAGGATCTTAGGCGAAACGGCCAGAAACCACTTTGGCCAGGAGGTAAATATCCTTCTCTACTTGCACCAAAAACTCTATCACAGCCCATGAGCTAACAAACTTGCGGTTTGGCAGGATCCATACTTCGAAGAAGTCCCAGCCTCCCGCCTAGGACGAGCCTTCGGCAAAAAGACACAGAAGAGGCGGAAAGCGATACCGCCGGGGTTATCAGACCACGACCAGAAAGTCCTGACGCAAGTCAAGAGAAGAGCATATCGACTAGACTATAGTCTTTTCAATTTGTGCGGGATAAGGTTTGGATGGGGAAGTGTGATTGGGCTAATTCCTTTGTAAGTCCTTTCGGTGATGAAACCGAAGCTGACAGGCAGAAACTAACGCGCCGAGTACACTAGTGCCGGAGATGCTGCCGATGCAGCACTCGCCTTGATGGTCGTTCGGACCTGCGAGGGCATCGATGGAGGTCTTCCGGCAAGCCTGCGCATGATGATGATGATCAATGTGGTGATCGATTTCTTCATAGGACTTGTGCCGTTCGTGGGTGACATCGCAGATGCCGTCTACAAGTGCAACACAAGGAATGCCGTGCTCCTAGAGAAGCATCTGCGAGAGAAAGGGGCCAAGGCGCTCTCAAAGCATGGCGGAAGACACGATGCACCCGAAGACGCCAGTCTCCCCGAAGAATTCGACCGATACGACAAGGGCGCCATAGAGGAACCGAGGAGACATCGGAGCAGGAAGCACTCTAGGACTGACGGTCCCGCGGTGCCCGAACCAGCAAGACATCCACAAAGGAATCGGTCGCAGAGAAGATGGTTTGGCGGCGCAGCCCCCGGCGATGACGATCTCGAAAGAGGCGTCGTCGACAACACGCGATCCGCTAGGCGCTGAGAATGAGCCGCGTGCTAGCCCGCATGAAGGATACAGAGAGAGACTGAGATCCCATATTCGCATGATTAGTATAATGTTAGATATCGCGCACAATCATATTTAATGTCTGCACTGCCAACTCTTAGCAGCTTAGATCAGGTCGAGATCGAGCACATGCATAGCATATCTGGGAAGATAAGCTGTCCGAGTGCTGGCCTGTGGCCTGTGGTGATGTCGCATTCGTCTTGAACATGAGAGCTCCGCAAAGGCTGCATTGCTGTTCGGCCGGGGAAGCGCTGGGAGACTGTAGTTTGCTTGCTGTTCTGGTCACATTCAACATCACACCAGGGTACTTCTCACCCTGCGTGAGCACGTAACGAACCATCAGCTCGTCGATTGACAGGTTCTTCGTGAGCGTGTTCTCCGAAACCGTTTGATGGGGAATAATGAGATCAGAAAGTTCTGGGATGAAGCTAGCATAGTTGCGCAGTTCAACAGTGAACAGGTCCCGAAGAGGAAAGTTGTACTCGAGTCCGGATGGAGATATCCCATCGCAGACCTGCCAGGTCACCGCGGAGCCGCGGCCCTTTGCAACATTCGCAAGAGTCTTGGCAGCCAACTTGCTGTCCGAATCTCCCCATACTATGCCTCGGCACTCCATTTTCTTTGCGAATGCGACGATAAGTCGATTGATAAGGATGTTGTCGACGTCCGCTTTGGAGGTTGCGCTTGTGATCGACGAGCGAAAAGCTTCAAGGCGCTCCTGGTTCGACAATGAAGTTTGATCCTCGAAATTCGCGTGCGCATACAGTGACATGACTTCGCTAATGCTGGGGTCGTAATCAAAAATGCTGTGGAAAGGAACGGTCGTGAAGGAGCAGTGAGGGAATCGCTTCTCAGCCAGACTGAAGGCTTCATTGTGCGGAGGAATCGAAGGGTTTATGGTTGACGGATCGATGGTTAGGACGAGAAGCTCATATCCCTTGGGGCCATGCGGCTTGAGTCGCATGGTTTCGACTTGTTCATGCAACATGTGCAGCATGACTGTAGATGACAGGCCGTAGGAGAGAGGAAGTAAGAGTTTGCAGGGCCCATCCAGGGGCATATTCCTCCTAAGGCGATAGTTCTCCGTGCGTTTGAAGGGCTTGTACTTGACAAAGCGTATATAGCAGTCCCTAGAAGAGGGGCACTTTCTGTCAGTCACTGCGGGCGGCGCCACTCCCAAACCAGATGCGATCCAGAAGACTTACTGGCAGACATGACGGCTGCGCAGGATGAAGGCGGGTTGCGCCTCGCGGCAATTCATGCAGCGATCTGGAATCTCCTTGCCTGGCATGTTGTAAAATTGTTTAGCCTAGTGAGTGAGTGAGACGATCGGGTTCAAATGCGGCGATTGATTGACAAGCAAGCAAGCAAAGCAGGGCAGCGGGAAGCCGATTGGGAAAACCTAGGCAGAAATTCTTCAGTGGCAGCACGGGCTTAGATAATCCTCAATCGGCGGGACCGTCAACACGCGCGGCTTCCCCGGTTTCAGGTTGTAGCCACGAATTCGTGCGATCGCTGGACAGTACACATTCTCTCCGAAAGCTATACGCAACCAACTGTCGGTTGTCCTTGGGAGTCTTTCTTTCTCCCTCTCTCTTGATTTCTGACAGTCTGCCTTCTTCACACACCCTTGTACCTTCATATGCTTTAAACCCGTACCCCATCTTCTGCGCTCGGCGAATCCGGAGCTCTGTGTATTGGCAGTAACCCACCGGTTAGCTCCTATTTATGGTCAGAATGAGAGGGTGGCTTCAGACTCTCGGCTTGACAGCCTTATTTGCGGGACATGTTCTTGCTAATGAAGTTGCATTGGTGCGTTTGTCCTCGTCCTACACAGTCTCCATCGCTCACCTTTGACATTGGGTGCTTTCTAGACACAAGATGAAGCCAGTCGGCAGCGATGCTCGGGAATGTACAGCCGCAAAGCATGGGGTGGAAGCGTAGACCCCTTTATCCTGACGAAGTTTGTCCAAGACTCGAGTGCTGGCGACAGTGATCCCATTGTCAGCCTGGTGATTTTCGAATGGACTGATGAGAACCTCATCGGGCGGCCTGTGCCCGGCGACTCCGATGTATGTCTCGAGGAGTGGCTTTCGAGTGAATATCCTCTGATCAACCAATGCTTTCTAGGTGATCGAAACTATCTGCGACGAAGCCAGTGTTCAAGCAGATCTGTGCAAGGAAGATCAGATTGGCTCGTTTATCCTCGCTGCGAACGCTACCGAAGCCGCCAAGTTCTCCATCATCACTCAAGCCGTGCATCTCAACAATCCGACCGCCATCAATTATCCGATCAAAAAGACCGGCTTCTATTGTGTGAGCACATACGGATACTCCGGAACCGACTACAAGGCCGTTGTGGAATTCAGGAATTCGTATGGAGAGCTCCCAGCGGCACAAATTGCAAAGCTGCCGTTCTATGGTGGCCTAACCATTGTCTATGCTGTGGTCGGCGCGTATGTTCATCGACACTATATCCTTATTGAGGCAATCAGCTGATGATGACGACAGGTTCTGGGCTTTTCTCTATGTGCAGAATCGTCACGATATCTGTAAGTCAACATCTGCCCGGGAGTCGAACTTGACTGACATAGGATAGTGCCCGTGCAAAATTACATCACTGCGATCTTGGTCTTCTTGATCGTCGAGCAGGCGATGACCTGGGGATTCTATGGTATGCCGGATCGAATCCCATATATTGCGATGCTTCTCTAATCTTGAACAGAATATCAAAATGTGCACGGCTTGAATGGCGGCGCGAAAGCGTTGATGATCATAGTAGCCGTTCTAAATGCAGGCCGCAACTCCTTCTCATTCTTCCTCCTTCTCATCGTGTGCATGGGATACGGTGTTGTCAAACCTTCGCTCGGACGAACTATGATCTATGTCCGCGTTCTCGCCATCACCCATTTCGTCTTCGCTGTGATCTACGCTGTTGCAAGCTTATCTATCACTCCCGACAGCGCCGGTCCACTAGTTTTGCTCATTGTCCTGCCACTTGCGGGAACATTGACTGCTTTCTATGTCTGGACATTGAACTCACTGAACGCCACCATGAAGGATTTGATCGACCGCAAGCAGAAAGTGAAGGCCATGATGTATAAGAAACTGTGGTGGTGCATCCTTGGTAGCATCATCGTGATTTTCGGCTTCTTCTTCCTCAACTCGATCAACTTTGCTGGACACAGTGAAGCCAGCTTTGTACCTGAGCACTGGAAGACCAGATGGTTCGTCTTGGATGGCTGGCTCAACATTGTCT